ATGGGAAGGAAATTAATACCAACAATGTTGTCTCACAATAATATTGTTGGCTGTCACGATATATGAAATTGCAAGTTCCTTTGCTTAAATGCATGGTTTTATAGTAGTAACAGCTTATGAACATAGAAAACTACATATCCCATGATTCATTTCAGAGCAAAAAACATGAAGAAATATGTTTTTTACTTGAATTATTGGGATTATGACAGTAATAAAACACAAAATTGTCTTATCTACAGTTCTATCAGTCTCTCCAAAAAATTGCAATAAATATCGTACAATGAGATGCATATCGTGGTAATATCGTACCAGGAGATTTGGATATTGTTACATCCCTAATGATTCCTCAACTATGCACACATACATTATAAAGCAGACATATCGATCTCCTGTCCTTCATATAGGCGCCCCTCAGACTTTTCTACTGTTTCTTGCATATTTCCACTGGATAAATACACAAACGTTTTAGCAACAAACTAGTGGTAACTTAATTAAAATCATCAGCTAATCTAAAGATATTTTACAGCTCCAAAGTTGCGATAACGTACTGGACAGAGCCATCTCCTCACTGATCCTCCTTTTTATCCCGGTCACATCATCACATAAGAGTAGCCTGATTCATCAGCCGGTTTCACTTTATGGAAACCATCTAACCTCGCAGCATTAGAATTTGTTTGCTTGACGGTAGGCGGGTACTTTTTTTCATTTAACTAATCGCTGCTATTTGGTCATGACGTATGTAATGCGCCATTAACAGGGCTAACTGGTATATTAAGCTTTTCCCAAATCCCATAGGAAGAAAGGCAATAAGGTCTTTCCCCTTGATAAAATTCACCAAACATTCTCTTTATTCCACCTTTAAATCCTCAATCTCGGGAATCGTTGACAACACAGAATGTATGGCTCTTCGCTGATTGGCTGGTGCCCAACTTGCACTTCCAGGGTTCTTGCAAACCGTCTAGTGTATTTTGATTCCTGACCTAGTCGCTGGAGAGAAATGAAATTGAGCGGAGACACTAGGTGGCGCCAGCCTGACTAACATAATACCCCCTTTTTAACAAAATCTTTACAAAACAACCATAAATAAAGGATAATATAAATGATCATGTTTATATTTTTATGTTTTATATTTGATGTATTCATATGAAAGTTGCAGTACGACTAGCAGTACTTTTACTTTTGCAAACTGCATCCAGTTGCTACAACAAAAGTTATAATATACAAACATTAGGCTTACATAAAGGAGCTGTAATTCCCTGGGGAAACCTCATTTGCTTATCACAATATTTATTTAATTTTAATCACACTGTTGTCATCTGCCTGTTCAAAGCAGTTAGTATAAATTTGCATAAAGTACTTCTATTATAATTTGCATCACGTTATTTTCTTATGTAAGTAAAAGGCAGTTAGTCCAGCTTCAGTCATGTGTAACCAGAGATTTCAAATGGAGGAAGTAGTAAGGTAAACAGATAAGACTCGATAAGGCGGAGGCGGGGCTATAATATAATGTAATTACTGTGAGTGAATGAGCAGTCTCCTTCCCATCAGCCCCTGCTCCTACCGCTCCCCCGTTAGGAGTTTTGCACATGTTTCAATTAATCCGGTAATTTATTTAGTGATATTTTGGTTGATTAAACAGTTTTGAGCTTTAAGTCGTGTTAAAATGTTGTTATCTCTTCAGAAACAGACCTGGAATTGTGTTTTGTTTCATTCACGTTTGAGTAATGTTTTATTATTAGTCTGTCTACATCTCCAAAGCTCAAAATGCTCTGTTCCACCTTGTGATGTCATGTAGTTGGTCTGGTTTTCAAGTAAACAGCTACGTTTTACCTTTCGTTCAGCAGTAGGGATGTGACAATAACTGAAATATCGTGATATCGTATCGTCAGAAGTCTCACAAATAATACCAAGATCTGTCACAGTATATCGAATTATAAGTTCCTTTGTTTAAATGCATTGTTCTTTAGTAGGAAAAGCTTATAAACATCGAGAACTACATATCCCTTGATTCATTTCAGTGCAGACAACATGAAGAAATATGTTTTTTACTTGAATTCTTGAGATTCTGACAGTAATAATTGGCACAAAAATCTCGTCAAGGTATTTCAAAAGCACAAAAAGTGTCCTATCTAGAATTATATTTGCCACTCCAAAATATCACAAAAAATATCCCCTTAGAGTTGGGAATTCCAGGTCACCACATGACATCACAAGGTGGAACAGAGTGTTTTTTGTTTGTGTGTTAAACATGTGTGAATGAAACAAAACACAACACCAAGTACGTCTGTGATGAGGGAATAGATCCGAGAATAGAGTAATACGGGTTCTTTAAACGTAAAATGCCGCTCTCTGGTCACTCCCTAAACCCCAGCGCCTGCAGCCATGAATCATGAGTCAGTGCTAGTGCAGCCTCTGCAGCTCACGGAGGGAATTCTGGAGGTTCTGAGCTTTCACACGAGGCCTGAGAATGAGACAAACTTGTATGTGTCTCTAATGCAGGTTAAGACTCTGACGACACAGGTTTAGTTGTGATCGTAATAAAAATAAATGTAATAGTAAAAATGCAGGTTACATACAATTAATCTAAAAACAGAAGCACTAAATCACAATATAACTGAGACTCCTTATTCTAACTGGATCATATAATTAATCAAAGCAATAAGTAGTCATGCTTAACATCCACTGTAACACGTTTTAAATGTTTCAATGTGCGCACTGTGTATAAATGTTATTAGTAACTACATACTGTTATAAGTCAAGAAATATAGAGAAAAATCCCGCACAGTCCAGTTTTTGTGACCTGGACTCGAGTCAGGCTTGAGTCACTGCTTTTAGAACATGAGACTTGACTTGATAAAATGGACTAAAGCGCGGGACTCGACTTGGACTTTAGGCCTTGAGAAAACTTAAGAATCACTTTTATCTGAATTCTTTCTATTCAGACTGTAATGACTCACTCTAAGAGCTTGTCAAGACATTTAAAAAGGAACAATGTGCATTTCTACAATTCTTAGAAATACTCACATATAAATATCCTATGACTTTATAAGGACAATTTATCTTAAAAGTCATAGTCTTAGATTTAAAGGCTTGAAATGTCTTGAAGCTCAAAGCAGACGACTTGGACTTGACTTGGACTTATGGGCCAGTAACGCGAGACTCAACTTGGACTTGCCTGTATTTGACATGAGACTTGACTCAGACTTGAGGTCAAAGACTTGAAAATTGCAAAATGACGACTTGGACCCACCTCTGCTGCACACCGTCTTACTTGCAAAATGTGAGATTTATTAGGACATACAGTACAACGTTTCGGCACTAGGTCTTCATCAGGCGTCAGGTTTGCTGAACGTTGTACTTCATGTCCTAATAAACGTCACATTTTCCGAGTAAGACGGTGTGCGTGATTTTTCTCTGTGTTCTTGGGCTGCTCCCTCACCTCCAACGCACCCGTCTCAAGTAACTGACGTGCAAAGTTCTCATTCTTTTATAAGTCAAGAAATAAAACACAGAACTGGGCTACATGGCAATCTTTTTTTTCTTTTTTTTTTATCTATCACCTTCTTGTCTCCATGGAGATGCTATCGTTTCGTCTGGAATGTTCCACAGTATGACATTAAACACATCTATCTAGCGTTTATTCATTATCTGTGTTTCTGTTGCTCAAAAATACAATCATTCTCTCCGTGAACAGGGTTGCCGCTCCGCAGATTTGACCTGTAATGTGCCTGTAGTTGTCACTTTTGAGATGGATAAGTTTAATCTCTACCGTGGAACATTCTAGACAAAGGGTGTCAAACTAAAAATTTTTAAAAGTGGGACTAAGTCGTGGGCCAAACTAAATATTTATTGTAAAATTTCAACAACATCTGCATGTTTTCTCTCCTTTTGAGATATGTAATGTTTAACTTTTCTTATTAAAATAAATGTTTAATAATAGTTTTGCTTAAACATTGAATCCAGAACAAGCATAATATAAAATATTACAATTTTAAATAAATAATGTCTCTATAGCCTATCTGTAGCCGGCGGGACAGCTCTAATACATGATCTCACGGGCCAAATATAATGATATCGCGGGCCAAATTTGGTCCCTGGGCCTGAGTCTGACATGTCTGTTCTAGACGAAGCAATAACATCTCCATGAAGACAAGCAGGTGACAAACACTGCAAGAAAAGTTGCTCAATGCACCTTTAACCCTAATCCTGAGATTGCCTTTTCTAACTGGAACGCCAATTGTGTCACATTTTCAAATCTAGACTCTAATCACATGTGTACTAAAGATGCACCGTGTAACTTTTCCGGTACAAGTCCTGCACCCGGTTGTGTCCATGGAGATATGTTTCTCTGGAATGTACCACAGCTGAGCATTAAACTTGCTTATTATTTAATTACTGGTGTTTTTAGAGTAAAACAATAACTTGAAAATTGTGTTTTGTAATCCGAACGGGTTGACCTCTCCACAGATCAGACCTGTAAAGTGGCATAGCGCTTGTCTCCATGGAAACAGATGAGTTTAATATCATTCTGTGAGAAATTCTAAGCAAGGCAATGATTTCTCTGTGGTGACGGACCCTCTACTCAGAAAATGACGCCTTACGAAGCACCTTTAAGTCAAGAAATAACACTGAATTGACCTCATTTTTTTCTTTTCTTTTTTTTACTAATAACCACTTTCCCTCTTCTTTGTTTTCGAAGCAAAACATTCTGCGAAAATTCCGCTTTCATCGCTGCGTTTTCAGGGACAGTCGGCGAAAAACGCAGATCATCAAAAAGCCCCGTCTTTATCCGAGCAACACTGTCACTTCCCAGACGCGTCCTTGCACCGGCTCCCCCCCCCTCCTTTCCCTCCTTTCCCTCTTCTCCTATTGGTCCTCCCCCCTCCCTCTGACCCCTCCCCCGCCTTCCTCCAATTGGCCGCCCTCCCCGCTGACACATCCCGAGCCGGGGGTGGGATTATATAAACCCGAGCGCTGCGGCTTCTCCTCCAAACGCAGTATCCCCCTCTCTCTTCTCTCTTCTCTCCTATCACCTGGAAACCACTTCTATCTCCGGACACTAAAACACGTCCAGTCGCGACACTAAATGATCACCATGTGCAAAGGAATAGCCTCACTGTCCACCTGCTGCTTGGAAAGGTACATTCTCCGTCATTTCGGATACAGACTCTTGGATTATTACTGTTATGATGAGGACGATTGGAGGAGAGATACTAGAGAATGCATGCTGCTTGGTTACCGCTGTAGCTTGAGCAATGTTTTCTAAATTATCTCTTGTTGGTTTTTAGGGCGAAGGAGCTGAGAGCAAGGCTGGGAAGTTTTCTGCAAAAACCAGACTGGAATTTAACCTGCTGCAAAATCGGCAAGCATAAGTAAGTATCTATTATGTTTATTTATTTTTATTTATAACTTGTTGCATGCGAGATGACAGTAAAGCATGCTTCTTCTTTTATTTTGGATTTTTTGGATTTTTTTAAATGTTATGTTGAATTTTTACATTTTTGTTGCATGCATGCGTGACTCGCGTACTAACATTTTTTGGGGTCTATTTTCGGCTCTGCGCCTAAAATTAGCCTGCGTCGTTTTTGAGCTGGGTTGCAGCATCGAAATTTCTAACTTAAACCTTCTAACGTGCAAGAATCAAATGCATAAAGGTAGTCAAAAAGTGAAATTTTTAGCTTTTTTGTAATGTCATTTTCGGATTCCAAAATTCAGTGGCGTACTTTGCAGCGTCTGTCTGCGGCATGTGTGGGGAATGCATTACGCACGGGTCTATTTTTAGCTCAAACTGTTGCATTTCTAACCAATTTTTTTGCATTTTTCAGGCCAACTTTGGAAGAATGCCTGCGGTGGAAAGAGTCTTTTGAGAAGCTGCTGTCTTGTAAATGTAAGTAAGCATTTCCAGCCACGTCCCCATGTTTTGAGAGACCATGACTAAGTGTGATATGATCTAAACCTGGACTAAACTTGTACTAAAACAGGACTTAATCATGAAACCAAGACTAAACCAGGTCTAAAACTGGACTATAGAAGCGAACAAGTGCTACACAGATCTTCAAATTGGCCTCAAAAAAGGACTAAACCAGGTCTTTTTTATACTTAATAAGAAAACTTGAACTAAAACAACTACCAAGAGAAGTACTAAGGTGTAAGAGAACAACAGAACCTGGACTGAACTTGGGCTAAACCAGAACTAAACCAGGACTGAACAAAGTTGAAACCAAAGAAAGAACAAAGAACAAAACTAGGATTAAATTCGATTGATTTAGAACTAAAAAACTAGGTCTAAACCAGGCGAAACAAATCAGTATAAAACCAGGATAGAATGAGGACTTAACCAGGACTAAACTAGACAAATACAGTTCATTTATAGAGCCAAAGATTACCAAAATTCTGAACAGAAATAAGATAATACAAAGGTACACCAGGGTTGAACTAGATCTAAACCAAGACTAAACCAAACCTAAACACTTACACAACAAATCTAACCCTGTATCTCCCTTGTTCTCTCTCTTGTAGATGGGTTGTGTGCCTTCACGGCGTTCCTGGTCTCAGAGTTCAGCGAGGAGAACATCGCGTTTTACTTCGCTTGTGAAGAGTACCGCAACACCAAGGTCCTGAGCAAACTTCCAGCCAAGGCCCAGAAAATCTACGAAGAGTTCATCTGCGCAGACGCCCCCAAAGAGGTAGGTCCACTGCAACTGCACCCACAAGTCGAACAAAGTGATGGATAGGTTCATACAGAAAGAAAGAATGAATGAATAAAAACTAAAGAGAAGTTGAAATTGAATGAAATCTGGTGCACTATAAAAATCTGGAAGACAACTACTTCAAAAATAGATGTATAATAGAAAAAAGTCCCAAACTCTTCTCTGGAAGTGTTTGCAAATTGTAGTCAAACTCAAATTTCGTCAAACTTGCAAATTTAAGAGTTAAGAAATCCAAAACAACCAAAAATCATCGAGTCCCAGTTTTCATTGCATAGTTTAAGGTATTATTTACTATCCAGAAGGTTAATTGGACATTTAATTAACCGTAATTAAAAGTGAAATGTAGAAATTGCGAAATATTTATTCAAAGGGTTTGACTAAATTGAAGTTCGGACTAAAACTTTAGATTAAATTTGAAAATATATGAACAAAATGACAAAAAACTTGTCAAATACTAACAATATTGTATTTTTTTTCTTTGTCCAGATCAACATCGACCACGAAACTCGGGACATCACCAGAGCCAACATGGCCACCCCGTCTCTCTCCTGCTTCGACTCGGCGCAGCACAAGATCTACCTGCTCATGGCGAAAGACTGCTACCCACGCTTCCTCCGCTCCCCGGCCTACAAGGACCTCCTCCGCCAGGCCAAGCCCTCCAAGAACCAGAGGACCGAGAAGAAGGCGTGAGCTGCCCCCCGCTGGCCGCGAGACGAAATGACCTTCGACGAAAACCAGTTGCCTTTTTACATAGTTTACATAAGGCACGGTAAATAAGCTGCCTCGTGAAGCTGGTTAAAGCGGCTCCACGCTGACCTGGCGACAGAGATTAGGCAGAGCCGGACTGGTCTGGTTTTGAGGTGGATCTCCGGGAAGTTTTGGAGACGCTGGAGAAGTGCGGTGAAGACGAGATGGCTGCCGAACAGATGAAGAGCGGAGATTGGAGATTTTGACTGACAATCAATTGTAAAAAATTGAGACTTAAAAGCACTTTTTGTTGCCATTTTGGGGCAAAATTTGTCGATGTTGATGTGCAATTTCTTTTTTTGTGAACAGACTACTGAAATTTCTATTTATTACTATTTATTTGACTTAACTGTATTGTTGGTTGTAATTTTTTACAAAAGATTCTCATGTGCAATATTTGATCTAATACATTACAATGTTATTTATACGATGTCGACTTTTGTATGTGAAATAAAAAATGAAATTATGAAAACATAGCATCATTGTTCCTGTAATCATTCACATATCTTCAGTTAAAAGTTTCACGAATTTATTTATTAACAATATGTAGTAAGAAATTATATTAAATCCATACTATTTAACTTTAGAGGTGGTTTTATAGCTCAAAAATACCTAGAAAAACGAGAATTCTGACTGGGCAGATCTGACCTGTAACTTGTTCTGGTTTGGTCTTCATGATGAATAGATAGAAAGGTTTAATGCCACACTGTGAAACATTCCAGACAAAGCAATAACATCTCCATGGAGAAAAGCATTTGACATACCCTCCAACAAAAAAAACTGCACAATACACCTTTTAGGAGTTAATGGTAGTAGTCATAATTTATAATAACGTTAGACGTAATAAAGCATCAACAGACACTTAATTCATAATGAACTAAAAGTGAATTAAGAATGATTCAGGCTCAGTTAACGCCAATGATTCCTAACTCCTTTGTACACCTGCAGTTGCTGTCTACCGCCCTCTACTGGCGTTCAGCACCAACTCCAATCCTAAAGTCTTAAAGAATCAATCCTGTTTTCATACATTATTTTCAGTTAGATGGCAGCAGAGATTAAGGTTATCGAAAAATATTTAAATCTAAAGTTATCAGTTCTTATGGTTTTATTGTCGTTAAAGACATTTGTATGAAAAGCTCAAGGTTTTGTCACGATACTGAAATTTCAAACTCGATTGATGATATGACAATAAAAAACACAATTTCTTTAGACCAGGGGTTTTCAAACAACACCACCAAAATCCCATCTGCCTGCCCCCCCTGTGCCTGTGTCTGTGCATTCATAAGTGAGTTTTGTAAAAGTAAATCATTTCCAACTTCATGCAGGTCTAACTGAGGCGACTTTTAACATCACCGAACATCAGTAGGTCTAAACCAGGTCTAAACCAGGTCTAAACCAGGTCTAAACCAGGTCTAAACCAGGTCTAAACCAGGACTAAACCAGGTAAACCAGGTCTAAACCAGGTCTAAACCAGGTCTAAACCAGGTCTAAACCAGGTCTAAACCAGGTCTAAGCCAGGACTAAACCAGGACTAAACCAGGTCTAAACCAGGTCTAAACCAGGTAAACCAGGTCTAAACCAGGTCTAAACCAGGTAAACCAGGTCTAAACCAGGTCTAAACCAGGTCTAAGCCAGGACTAAACCAGGTCTAAACCAGGTCTAAGCCAGGACTAAACCAGGTCTAAGCCAGGACTAAACCAGGACTAAACCAGGTCTTAACCAGGTCTAAACCAGGTCTAAACCAGAACTAAACCAGGTCTAAACCAGGTCTAAGCCAGGACTAAACCAGGTCTAAGCCAGGACTAAACCAGGACTAAACCAGGTCTTAACCAGGTCTAAACCAGGTCTAAACCAGGTCTAAACCAGAACTAAACCAGGTCTAAACCAGGTCTAAACCAGGTCTAAACCAGGTCTAAACCAGAACTAAACCAGGTCTAAACCAGGTCTAAACCAGAACTAAACCAGGTCTAAACCAGGTCTAAACCAGGTCTAAACCAGAACTAAACCAGGTCTAAATCAGGTCTAAACCAGGTCTAAGCCAGGACTAAACCAGGACTAAACCAGGTCTTAACCAGGTCTAAACCAGGTCTAAACCAGGTCTAAACCAGAACTAAACCAGGTCTAAACCAGGTCTAAACCAGAACTAAACCAGAACTAAACCAGGTCTAAACCAGGTCTAAACCAGAACTAAACTAGGTCTAAACGAGGTCTAAACCAGGTCTAAACCAGAACTAAACCAGGTCTAAACCAGGTCTAAACCAGAACTAAATCAGGTCTAAGCCAGGACTAAGCCAGGACTAAACCAGGTCTAAACCAGGTCTAAACAAGGTCTAAACCAGGTCTAAACCAGGTCTAAACCAGAACTAAACCAGGTCTAAGCCAGGACTAAACCAGGACTAAACCAGATCTAAACCAGGACTAAACCAGGACTAAACCAGGACTAAACCAGGTCTAAACCAGGTCTAAACCAGGACTAAACCAAGTCTAAACCAGGTCTAAAACAGTACTAAACCAGGTCTAAGCCAGGACAAAACCAGGACTAAACTTGGACTTGAGCTAGAGGTCTGTCCCACTCCCAATCGCAAATCCCACAAGATGGGGACGTTCGCTTCCTTCACCTCTATCAAACACCGAGAAGGGAAAGGAATTACAGAAGTTTTGAATTCGCTGCATAATTATTTATGTTTGTGGTGTCAAAACATATTTAAAGGCTCCGTATTATGCTGTTTCCTCATCAAAAAACAAACCTGGAGTTATGTTTTGTTTCATTCACACATGTTTAACACATAAACCCTGCAGATTTAGGTTGACGTCATTTCTCAAACTGAAAACACTGTTCCTCTTTATGACGTCATGTGGTAATACAGGAAGTGCTCCACTGTGTTTTTAAACTCCATACACCTTCACTAGAATCATTTGGATCATTTCAGCCCTGGAATTGCTGATCTCTACTGAACAAAAGATAAAAGGTAGATGGAACAGAGCATTTGGAGGATTACCTAATCAAACAAAACACAACTCCAGGTCTGTTTTTGATGAAGTAACAGCATTATAACATGACTAAAACCTCACAAGGTCCGTTTTGCGTAATATAGGACCTTCAGCTTCGAGGCCTAGTGACTGTGTGTTTTATATCAACAGTAGCTGATGCAGTTGTTGCTGTGTACATGGATACGACGGATCTGTGCCTTGGAGTGATAATATATTGATTTTGCTATTGTGTTTAAACATAGGCTCATCCGTCACAACTGGACCATCTCCGAATGGCTCTGCAGGAAAAGGATAAAGACGCACTCTGTAACCTTTCTTGCATTTGCTTGTTCCCACGGAGATGTTATTGTTTTGCCTGAATGTTTCACCGTATGACGTTAAACATAAGTACACGTTTTTTTTTTTTTTTTATTTTATTGCTATATTACCATGTTATAATGTTGTTATAATGTTGTTACCTCATCAAAAACAGACCTGGAGTTGTGTGTTTCATTCACACATTTGAGTTAATCATTTATTTTTAGTCTGTTTACATCTCCTCTCAAAATGCTCTGTTCCACCTTGTGATGTCAATCAACTTTCAATATCTACCTTTTTTTAGTTCAGTAGCAGGGCTGAAATTATAAGAGCTACTGGGTAGGTGTGACACACACACACACACACACACACACACACACACACACACACACACACACACACACACACACACACACACACTAACACTAACACACATAAACCTAAAGGACTAAACTAAACCAGGACTAAACCAGACCTAAACCAGGTCTAAACCAGGACTAAACCAAGACTAAACCAATACTAAAACCAGGTTTAAACCATTTCTAAACCAGGACTAAAATTAGGACTAAAACCAGGACTAAAACAAAGACTAAACTATAACTAAAGCCAGGAGTAAACCAGGACAAAAATCAGGACTAAAATCAGGACTAAACCAGGACTAAAATCAGGACAAAAAACTGGTCTAAACCAAGTCTAAACCAGGTCTAAAATCAGAACTAAAACCAGGTTTAAACCAGGTCTAAACCAGGTCTAAAATCAGGACTAAAACCAGGTCTAAACCAGGTCTAAAATCAGGACTAAAACCAGGTCTAAGCCAGGTCTAAACCAGGTCCAAACTGGGACTAAACCAGGACTAAAGCATGACTAAAATCAGGTCTAAACCAGGACTAAACCAAGTCCAAACCAGGTCTAAACCAGGTCAAAAACAAAGACTAAACCAGAACTAAAACCAGGACTAAACCAGGACTAAAATCAGGACTATAACCAGGTCTAAACCAGGTCCAAACCAGGTCTAAAACAGGTCTAAAATCAGGTCTAAACCAGGTCTAAATCAAGTCAAACCAGGACTAAACTAGATCTTAACAGGGCTAAAATCAGGACTAAAACAAAGACTAAACCAGGACTAAAATCAGGACTTAAATCAGCTCTAAACCAGGACTAAACCAGGACTAAAACCAGATATAAACCAGGTCTAAACCAGGTCTAAAGCCCCAGCTCTCCACCTGTACCCAGCGCTGTAGTGTGGGCCTGTGCGTTACTATGGACGACGTGGCAGCTGTAATCATATGCATTAGTCTTCTGTGCCATCTGTTCCTCTCTTATAACTGCCCCGTCCTTCATGAATACACAAGTTTGACTAGATTTTCAGCTCATTTATGTGAACAATTGCTGGTACATTTTGAAATTAGGTACAAAGAACTAATGATTTTTAGAGCAAGAAAATCGTTTGCAATTTTACTCTGACAAGTTTTGCAAAGTTTTGCCGTTTTACAAGTGCAAATGTGTTTATCTTTTTAAAGAAGGTTCTCTACAAAATCAACTTGTAAGAGCTTTGGAAGTACACTGTGTAACTCTGAACTTTGTAGCCTAATCTAGTGTTTTTTTTTTTTTTTTAATACTCAGAAATACTTGCAAACATGCATTCTTATTTGGAGCCACACTGACATGTAATATAGGCACAGCTGCATTCCTCGTGTTTACCGTATTCCTGAAGTTGCCGTGGGCGCCGCTGACATTATTTAGGTTGTATTATTTTGTGTGGGGCTGCCGATCTTGACAGCAAATAAATTCAATGCGGACTATAAAGCAATTTTAAAGCCCGCCAGATAAACAGTGCGGTGTGACTTACTTGTTGCACATAAACACAGATGAACCGACTTTGTCATATTTAAGATGCAAAACGTTTCCCAAAGTCTCCGTTGACATGAATGGGATCCCCGTTTAACTGGAAGTGCCACCACAAAAACGCAAACTTTAGGAGCATTTAAAGACAGAATAAAGTGGATGAAAGTGTCAGTTTACATCAGAGGCAACAGAGCGGTTACATGCCGCCATTACGACAGACCACCACTCCAACATTGATGTCCAATTGTTGGAGTGGTGGCATTTACATTTTTTATCACGTCCCTAAACATT